GACTTGGCTTAAAAAAAAGATTCCGACGACACCTCATTGATTTTAAAATTAAAAATAACATGACATTATAGCTGAATAAATAAGGAACAAGTTTCAAAAACTGCCAAAAAAATCGGTCTAATATTAACGAATATACGTTAAAAAAAACTGCTCAAAAAGGGCTGATTTTCAGCGATTTCTCACCGTTTGGCGATTTCGTGCCGGATTTTTGGAACACAAAACAAATTGTAATGTATGAATAATTCATGACATTTTACCAAATTTACCTACGAAAAAAAAAAAAACAAACATTGCAGCCTGATGTCGATCTGCTCGAGTCCGATCGGCCAGCTCATGCTTTATCCAAAACAAAGCCAAATGATCCGGTCGTGTTGACTCTGTTGGCTGTTGTGGCCGAAAAATATATAAATAACATTCTAAATTCTGCATCTTAAACTTGCGTTAAGCAAACAATTTATGAAGTACAGTGATACATGTACATACATACATACATACAATTATTATTATTATTTCTTTTTTATATAAATCACCCCAAACAAGGCCCGTACTACAACTTCTAGGTAAAGGGGTTTCCTAACAACTGTACTAGATTTTAGTGTCATGAAATACTTACACCTAGGGCTGACACATAGCTTCATCCACTTCACAGCCACAGACAACAATTCAGGTTGAGGTATCTAAGCCGGCCGTGATTGGTCAGCGTGTGCGTAAATTCCTGACCACAAGTATGTACAATAACCAGAATTTAGGCCTATGCCTTTACATATAATATGTTTATACAAACATGCATACATACACATGTATGTATGCCCAAAATATGTAGAAAGTTAGACAGCATACAATCATTCATTAATTAATATAATTTCTTAGGCCACATTTTTGCAACGAAACATTAAATTTAATCGGCTCATATTCACTGCAGTGAAGTGACCTTCAGAAGCCTTTGTTATCGTTTAGACTCGCTCATTTTATAAGGGGTAATTAATAGGCCCACCTTTGGCTTTTTTATGCATTTTTTAAGTCTTAAATATTATTATTAACAGTACTACTGTACTAGTTTAACAATTTTAAAATTTAGGCTATAATGATCATTCATATTCTGCGACGCACTTCTCCTAGCCAGCCTGAATCCGGCAATCCCAGACCTGCTCGATAATGGTACGTTCCTGCTTCTTACCAGGGAGTTGTTATCTTACCAGCTGGCAGAAAAACCTACAACCGTATGTTTTAGATCATTGTGTTAAATTAAGTTAAATAATAACACACAGTAAAATTAATGTTGACAACATATTACTTAATGAGTATGTAAAATGTGAGAAATGAAATACCTAATGGAAATTAGCCAATTTAAGGCAACAACAGTACAACGCAGACTCATTAACAATGGCGGAAGGCTATACCAAAGCTTCAAATTTTCGCGGGCATAATGCCTAGACAGGATTGTTCATTCATATTGAAATTAGTGTTATGACGGTGAATTTTTTCATCCAATGGGAATATATTTTATATGAGAAAAATCTAGAATATTCAGCTCTCATTTTACCGGAGGAACAACAAGATATTTGATTGGTAATCAGCTGAAATGGCAATTTAAAGCCAACAAAGTCGCTAAAAATGCAGCCTCCACGCGGTGTGCAGTCAGCATAGCACCAATGAAAAATGACGGTGACTTTTTTCAAGTAATACACTTTAAACAAATACTAAAGCAATCAGAAAAAAATTGCCTTTAAAATACCGAAGAGAACACAAAAATCCGACAAGTATTTGCTGAGATACGACTGTGGAAATACAAAAAAATGACCCAAAATAGCTTATGTCGGTGCGAAATACAAATTTGCTAGGCTATTCTCGCTCTTAAACGAACACGTTGTAAGAAGAATCCATGAAGAAACTTCCAACGATTAAATACCGGCCCACGTGCGCACATGCACATGTTATTGTGGCGTCTGTGAAATAAATAATCGGAACAGCATTATTTTATTTTACAGTAATGTATAAATATAAGAATATATTTGTATTTTTATATACCTACTGTGGGCATAATCCTTATAAACGCCAATAAAATAAATCACTGTTACTATCGATCATTTTGTTCGAATATTTCGTTTCCAACAAAACTAGCTTTGATTAAAGGTAACCCTAACAAAGGTATTATACATCTATTTTAACAAGAATTGCGCTGACTCAACCAATGCTGTTCTTCCCTGGGACGGTGCTTAAAAACACAAGCGTTGAAAACATTTGAAGTTTATATTTTAAAGTACAGTCATTTTCAGTAAACGACTTAAGTCCGAAGCTATCATTTCGGCATCGCTAGCATTTCGTGTCTAAATTAAATAGTTGTCTACTGGAAACTTTTGCTGTAACTCTCACTATACAAAGACCCGTCATTCCCACGTAACCCTAAATATTGATCATACCAGTACTTTAATGTTAAAACAAATGCAAAATGCAACAAACAATCTTTGAGGCATTTATGACACGTTGTACTTCCTTAATACACTTTTAAATACAGGCCTAAAACTAAAAACAACAAAGAAAAAAAGGAAAGAAACTATCGTTATTCAAAATATAGCCTACGTCAACAATTCAATGACGACAGAAAACATGATTATTATTAAAATGAAGTACTTTAAAAGTTTGTTTAGAAAGCGACAAGTAATAAAAGAAGGTGATTTTGTTGAGCAGCACCGTCATAAACAACAATCATAATAGCATATTGTCATCGTTCGCTCTTGGAGAGCCTTAAGGAATACGTAAACGAGAATATTCAAATGTTGTCTACAAGTACTTACACCATAGCAGGACAATTTCATTGCTAATCTACTGTTCAATATTGTGAACGAAAAGTAGAAGATTTTTTGATGGTAAAAAATCCCCTAATCAGGATTTGAACTCGGAATCTTCAGCTGTCCACCCTAACCAATTTTGATATTAGCGGAAAGAAATAGGAACTGTTCATTGTAAATATAACATAATAAGTCATATTTATATTACCCTTACTAAACTCTTACTATCGGTTAAGTATTACATATATTTTGAGCTCTCAATTTCCTAAATTACCGCAGCTTTCAAAGTCGTAACTGGACTCCGATTTAGACAACACTGAATAAGAATGATGAGTGATGACAGAGGGAATAGCCCACGAGGTAATCATTGCACACTAGAAAAGGACATATTTTTTTACAATATATTAGGCTGTTTTACGTTTCAGAACTTTTATTATTGTCTTAAATTATCTCTCCACTAAGCAGGTCAAGTCCTCCCCCACCGGCCGGAGCTCGTCGGGCAGTCGGGGGGGGGGGGAAGAAAGGCATAATGAAATGAAATGCGTGTTTTTTTCTTTGAGTTTGAGAGTACAGTATATTTTATCAATTTTACATTTAAACGTATCTTTCAAGTCCGAGAGTGTCATTCCTACCGCCCAGAGGTCCCTATTAAAAAAAAAATCATTAAGGAGGGGAAACATCCACGTCCCAACCCCGTCCCCGCCTCGGGCCTATGGTTCGGATGGCGCTCTGCGACAAAGTTATCCTTATCTCACTCCCCTGTCGGATAGCTTAGCCACCCTAGAAAGTATCCTACAGCCGCCACTGTTCACATGTGTGATATCACACCAATGATAGGCCTATCAGGTCTACTTAGAAAGAGAATTGCTACAATAAACAGGGTGTTACTTACCTATATTTGGCATCATTTGAACTATTGCAACAAAAGTAGATAACAGTATACATATGTAATCGAAACGTATCATATTTATTAACCGTAGAACTATATCAATTTTACCAAGATGTATTGAATATTATATAAGTGTAAATTCAAGTTATTACACTGCAATTAAATGCGAGCCAAACTCTGCATTGCAGACATTAAATTAAATCATCCAAGCAGAAAGGTGACCGTGTAACGTTAGTAAACCACGTTGCCATAGATACCAGTAACCAATAATGTTGCTTATAGACTAATCAGGTAGATGAGATAGCTTCACTTGTCGCGTCATAAACTTGATGAACTGTACGTTTTAGGATATAGCCTAATTCCACTTAGTTTATTCTAATCTTACATTCTTATATAAAGCTAATATCCCAATGGGTATACTTCAAAAATGTATTCAAAATAAAAGAAAAGAGAGAGAGAGAGAGAGAGAGAGAGAGAGAGAGAGAGAGAGAGAGAGAGAGAGAGAGAGAGAGAGAGAGAGAGAGAAATATCCAAGCAAACAAACAAACAAAACAACGAAAAAGGTTTGGGTATAAATAGCTTCCGACTGAAGCTGCATGCCCTACACGATTTTATTTTTACTAACTACTCCAAAGTACATCTGCGTGATATCACCATTTCGATTACAGTGAAAACACAGACAATCAGAGAGTGCTCCTTACATCAGAACAAGTATACTATATTATAACAAATGCTCTAAAATATATGTATGAAAAGCTGTTTAAGCAAGTTTGTGTAGTTGAGTTTTAGATCTTTGAAAAGAAAATTTAATTACCAGAAGATTGATTTTTACCAGATGATATCCAAAATGGTACATCCTTAGATATATTATTGAACCATGTACTTTGTCTAGATTTTGGCACTTTTTGTCTTTAAAACTAAACGTTGTATAACTCAGAGATGATTCACATTTTTTTCAACAAAAACAAATAATAATAATAATAATAATAATAATAATAACAACAATAAAATTAAAAATAATAATAATAATAATAATAATAATAAAATAATAATAATATTAATAATAATAATAATAATAATAATAATAATAATAAGACGACAAAAAACTACAACACAAACAACAACTACAACAACAACAATAATAATAATAATAATAATAATAATAATAATAATAAATAGTAATCATTGATATGTCACATTTGATCAATTTCCAATGAAATTAGATTATTTCTATTTCTAAAACTTGTTGAGAAGAAGTTTAGTTTTCTGAAACTTGTAAGACTTTCCTGTGAGAATATTTGCCATAATTGTCTCAGTTTTCTTGCTAGATCCTGATATTTTATCATTTTTTCCAGTTCTTTCTTTTCGATGAGGCCATCATATGCTATTGCAAAATCAATGAATTGCCAACGATATACTCTTTTTCAACTACAGTCGGCACATCTGGTCTTCTTGACTTTTACATGATCAGAAAGTATAGTAAATTATTATTATTATCATCAGCATCATCGTCATCATCGTCGTCGCCATCAGTGTTTCATCGCGATCATCAGCTTCATCGTGATCAGTGTCATCGTGATCATTGTCATCATCGGGGTGTTGTTGTTACTATTATTATTATTATTATTTATTTTTTATAATAATAATAATTATTATTATTAATAATATTGTTATTATCGGCAACCTACTTTTCTTTTTATTAACAATCATGTCTTGTGTTCTTACTTCTATTAATATGATCAGTTATTATTGTTATAATTATTATTATTATTATTATTAACATTACTATTATTATTATTTTCAATATTTATTTTTCTTTCAACTACAATCATATCTGGTCTTCTGTATTGCAAATTATTATTATTATTATTATTATTATTAGGATTCATATAGATTTTACGAGCTGCAATAACTTTTGTAGAGTGGAAGTGCGAATTAAATAGTTAATATTTAGAATCGCTTAAAAGTACTGGTGGTTGGATTTATCTTTTTGTAGAGTCGCAGTGTTAACAAACAATGCACGCTATCTATGAGAATTCCAACAGCAGTCCCTATGTTATTTTCTGGGTCACGAAATCTATTAATGCCATTTTATTATGAATGAGTTGTAAGGTTATAATGATCAAAATTTAACGTAATCAATTCAAAATTAAGAGTAGGAAAATATCCCGTAACTTGTAGATTTACACACACACACACACACACACACACACACACACACACACACACACACACACACACACACACACACACACACACACACACACACACCCACACCCCCCTCCCTTTCATACACACACATGTTATGATATTTTTTTATCATTGGGATATCTGTATGATTGCATTTTATTCACTGTACAGATGAGACAGCCCCTAATGTGACTTGTCCAGTTGACATTGAGGTCTGCACTGACCAAGGAACTTATTCAGTGGATGTCACCTGGGAACCAGCCAATGCAACTGACAACTGCTGTAGTGATGTCAACATAACTACTAACTACACCAGTGGAGAACCTCTGAGCCTTGGTGTATACACAGTAGGATATGCAGCAACAGATTGTAATGGGAATGTTGGTTACTGTATATTTACTGTTGATGTTAAAGGTAGGCCTATCAGAAACACTTGCAAATAATTAACGTCATTAAACTTACCTTTCCTAAATAAGTTTTTATGTTCTTCCTAATTCGACAGAATAAAGAATACGGCGATATTTAAAAACATTTTACATTTAAAGCGATCCAAGTGGTAACCCATTGAAAAGGTATTTTAGTCTGATACCTTACTGCTATCTTCACAATGATATATGACTCGATCTTGCTATAATGCATATCGTAGGATTTTAACATCGGTGCTGGTTCATACCCTTTTCAATCATGTTTCGAGTGGAAGAACCAATAAAGACTATGCGGAGAAAAGCAGGGGATATCCCTAGTGTTTTGATCAATCCTGCTGTGAACTACTATGTGCCAATCTGCAGTGCGGTGACACGTTGGGAATGGGACATTTGAGGAGTAGAAAATAGTAAGAATGAGTTGGTAAACTAAAAGCGCATTGTAACCACTATATAAAATTCTGGTTTACAGCTATGGGGTTTAGCTTTAGGCCAGTTTTATATTTACCAAGTTTAAACCAAGTTCGTTCTTAGCTTAAGTACTGTATAGTTTTTTTTAATGCATGAATACACAATAATCACGTAAATTTTTTACATTGTTGATAATTACTCTATCTGTCAAACAAACATCTACTTATATATTACGCTGCGTTTGATAAATGTTAGGTGTTTTGAGAAAGTAACGCTTGGTGGCGCTATAGCTTCAAACAACATCAACACTAGCTCGATAATACCCACCAGACCCAGAACTAGAACAATGCCTCATATAAAATCATCGACAGTTTTAAATACATCGCTATAATGAAATACGCTAGCTAAGCAATATACCGGAAACACATTTACAGATTTATTGAAAGCATGCAAAAATTTATAATTTCAATCACAGCTCCTGGATAAAACTATTACAGTATTCCCAAATTTTTAAACAAATTGATTGAAATACGTTTGTATTTTCTTGAACGCACAACATAGTCATCATGACTACGAATTGAGTGATTTTGCGATGATAATTGCTAATAATATATTGAAAAGTAAAAACAACTGTAATTCTTTAATTTCAATTATATAAACATATTGTAAAAGAAATATTTAGTTATGTAATTTGGGATTTCCATTAACAAGCTATGCTTCAGGAATTTCCCATTTTTTTGATCTTTAAAAATGTTGAACATTTATAGTTTTCGTAAATGTTTTATGCTCAAAGGAAATAAATATTATTGTCATTGTCATTTCATTATTATAAATCTATGAAACAACGCATGTAATTAATTATTTAACATTGAGATGTAGATCTATCATATTTATTTATTTATTTAGATATATAGTATGAAGTTTAACTACATATAACATATTTATATGTAAAAGTATCAAGTAAACACACATTTACTTGAATGATACATAATTTACAGAATGATACTTAATTAGTGAGACACTTATTACAAAAGCGAAAACACTCAGATATGCTGCTTTCAAATTCAAGGCATGTGAACACTTGTCCTCTTCAACAGCTTGGTTTTGAAAGTCGATGAGACTATCCAGACCTTCCGCCTCTACGATACTACCGTATCCCTAAATATAAGATGATAAACCATACAAATATATTTAATATATATATATATATATATATATATATATAATAAATATATATATATATATATATATAATTAAAAAAAGGGTAGAACGAGTTGCAAATATCATCAGCATAGTGCTCAATGATGGTAATTAAACTAGAACGAATTAGAACAACAATCAGAGGTTCAACAGTTACTAAGTTTAATTAGACATTTTATTAATATTTAGATTCGTGCTAAATATACATGGTGCAACAATCTTCAGATAAAATTACAAGGATAAAGTTGCTGTTATTGGTATTTTCATTAAATGTATAATTTAGTGTCAATGAAAAAAAAAGTTATATCTGTGTATCTCTTTACATGAGTAATGTCGTTTGAGCGTTACATTTAGGGTCATTTTTAAGGGTCACGTACAAGAAAAAGTTGCTGTCATCAGTTTTTCAGCATTTTGCTATGTACAAGTTAGTTTCCTATATTTATGTCCCCCCAATGTATAATAGTGCCAATGGAAAAAGTTTAATCCGTGTCTCTCTTTACATGTCGTAAGGTCATTGTTCTTGGCCCTATCACCATGACCAGACCATCAAACCTTTTGTCTCTTTTGACATGATTACATTTTCTGGGCTCCTTGTCTGTACATTAGAATAAAGCTGTTAACTCAATTGCAGAATTAAAGTTATTGCATAGACCATGTTGCCAATTGAGAGTGACAAAAATCAATAAAGATAAAGAAAATCAATGGGGACTTTTCCTTAAAATCACTACACTCAATCGATCGATCGATCGGTCGGTCAGTCGGTCGGTCGCTCAATCAATCAATCAATCAATCAATCAATCAATCAATCAATCAATCAATCAATCAATCAATCAATCAATCAATCAATCAATCAATCAATCAATCAATCAATCAATCAAACAAACAATCAATC